CCCCACCCCACAGGCGAACCGGCTGGAGAAGGCGCTGGCGGCGGCCTACACCTTCCTGCAGAAGAACCCCAAGCACGAGCTGACCACCAAGTATCTCAGCTACTACCGGGGGATGCTGGATGCGGCCGAGGAGCCCCTCACTGACTTGGAGGCGCAGCCCTACGAGGTGGGCGGAGGGGGAGGGCTGGCCGTGAAGCTCCTCCCCACGCCCCCATAGGACTTGGGGCCCTGACCCTCCCCTCGCTCCCCCCCAGGCCGTGTTCCTCCGGGCGGTGAAGCTCTACAACAGCGGGGACTTCCGCGGCAGCACCGAGGACATGGAGCGGGCCCTGGCCGAGTACCTGGCTACCTTTGCGCGGTGTCTGGCTGGCTGCGAGGGGGCCCACGAGCAGGTGGACTTCAAGGACTTCTACCCTGCCATAGCAGGTACCCCCACCCAGACCCATGGGCGTCCTTCCCAGCCGCCACTGGGCCCAGAACAACTCAGACCCCTGAACACTTTCATGGAGCCCATAGTCCGTGCTGGGGGGGTGGTCAGTGTTATATCCTGTCCCTGGGAGTGTGGAGTGCGCAGCCAGCTGAGAGAGGCGGACAGGGCAACGGATCCCCTGCCCCTGGGTGCCGAAAGGCTGCAGCCTGGAGCGCCCAAGGTGCTGGGCGCCAGTGGAGAGAGGCGGTGACAGTCCCAGGAGGGTCTGGGATGGGGGTCACAGGCTTTCCAGGTAGAGGTCAATGCAAGTGCAAAGGTGCCCCCGCCGAGATGGGAAACAGCCCCGCACGGATGTCCCAAAAGCAGTTTGTGGCCAGAAATCACACCGAGTCTGAAGTCCCTAACTGCAGGGGCCCCTCAGGGCTGTCCTGAGCTTTTTAATCTGGGCGTCAGGACGGCTTCCACACCTCACCTGCCACCTCCCAGAGAGCCAGGCTGTGGGCAGTAAGTCCGCCCTGGCCACAGTCCTCTGCCTCAGCATTGCTTATCCCAGCCGCCACGTCTCACGTGGCTGCAACAGGCTCTGCAGGCAGAGCTGGGGCTGGCGTCCTCTCCATCACCCGCTCCTCCGGGAACGGAGCTGTTCAGCACACCACCAGCTTCTCACCCCTGCTTCCCCCCCACCCCCCACCCCCGCCCAGATATTTTTGCAGAATCTCTGCAGTGCAAGGTGGACTGTGAGGCCAACTTGACCCCCAACGTGGGTGGCTACTTCGTGGAGAAGTTCGTGGCCACCATGTATCACTACCTGCAGTTTGCCTACTACAAGTGTGAGCCTCCTGTGGGCTTGGGGTGGGATGGGGAGCGGAGAGCACTGCACTGGGAGCACCACAGAGTCTGGGGGAGCTATTCCTCAGGATTCAGGCCCCTGGGCTATTGGGAGGGCGATGGGGGTGGGGTGGGGCAGGTGAAAGGCTGGAGGAAGAGAACAGAGAGCAGCCTCAGGGTAAATGACTAGCTAGCCCACAGCTGTACCGCACTTGACAGTTTACAAAGCCCTGCCACGTCTGTTTATCTCACTTTATCCTCCCACCAACCCCCTGCAGATGACATTGCTGGACCCATTTTTCAGATGAGGACACTGAGGCTTACACAGAGGGCAAGGGGTCGTTAGTCACTTAGCTAATAAAAAGTAGCACCAGAGCCCTGGCCAGTGTGGCTCAGATGGTTGGGCGTCATCCCATGTGCCAAAACGTTGCTGGTTCAATTCCAGGTCAGAGCACATGCCCGGGTTTCGGGCTTGATCCCCAGGATGGGGTGTGTGATTGATGTTTTGCTCTCACACAGATATTTCTCTCTCGCTCCCACTTCCTTCCTCTGTCGCTAAAAGTAATATAAAATAATTTTTAAATCTTTTAAAAAAAAGAAGTAGCCCCAGGACTTAAGGCTTTCCTCATTTGAGGGAAATCCTGGCCCCAAGTGGGGGCTGTGATGGACAATCTCTAGGGTTCCTGTAATGCAGAGATGCCAAGATTCAGACAGAAGCTGGAGTTGGAGTGGAGGGTCTGTGGACCAAGGGGCCAGGAGAGCGCTAGCCGGTTTGACTCAGTGGATAGAGCCTCGGCCTGTGGACGGAAGGGTCCCAGGTTTGATTCCAGTCAGGGGCACATGCTCAGGTTGCCCGCTCAATCCCCAGTAGGGGGCTTGCAGGAGGTAGCCACTCAGTGGTTCTCTCTCATCATTGATGTTTCTATCTATCTCTGCCTCTCCCTAATATATTTTTATTAATAAAAATAAATTTTTTAAAAACTGAAGAGGAATCATATCATGCACACTCACCTTAGTATAAATAACTGGGTATGCTAGCCAAAAAGAGAAATAATAATAATAATAATAATAATAATAGTGGCAGGGGCACTCTCTCTCTCTCTCTCTCTCCCCCTTCCTTTTTGAAATCAATAAAACTCTATTTAACACACACACACACACACACACACACACACACACAGAAGCCAGGAGGCCCTTCATGGGTCCGGTTGGCTAAGCAGTTGAGGGCCACCACTGGCCTCTCACCCCTCTGACATCATTCTCCGGCCGTGTGAGCTTGATCAGTTTACTTGGCCTCTCTGTGCCTTGAATTTCTTATCTGTAAAATGGGAACGACAATAGCGTTGAGTCTTAAGTGAGGGCCTGGCACACATCAAGTGCCCAGTACATCCAGGCGCATTATCGTTGGGTGGGGTGAGATGCCCAAATGTATTCTGGAAGACAGCTGGGGAGGCAGAGGCGCTAGACTGAAGAGGGAGATAGGAGTGGGTGAGGTGGGGTCCTCCCTAAAGATGGGGGGGTGAGGGAAGGGTCATCCCTAAAGGCGGGGCAGCGCCAGGGCTACTCCTCACCCCTCCTCTGTCTGCAGTGAATGACGTACGCCAGGCTGCCCGCAGCGCCGCCAGCTACATGCTCTTCGACCCGGAGGACAGTGTCATGCAGCAGAACCTGGTGTACTACCGCTTCCACCGGGCTCGCTGGGGCCTGGAGGAGGGGGACTTCCAGCCCCGGGAGGTGGGCATTGCCTCCGAGGCACTCTTGGGACCATGTGATTTGATAAAAAAAAAAAATCCGGCTTCCTCAGAAGGCAGGATGGAAAGTGAAAAAATATGGGTTGTGGCTGGGGTCCTGGATTCAGACTCAGCCCCATCGGCTTTGCGGTCCTGGGAACACCGCTCACCCTTTCTCAATCTGTTGCCTCACCTGCAAAATGGGGCTGGGACGACCTCCCTTACCAGCACCGCTGGCGAGGTGGGAGGTATAAAAACACCTGCTGGTTCCTGCCTGCTCCCTTCCCCACCCTCACCATCCTCACTGCTGGCCTTTGGCCTTCTTCCCCCGGGACCTCCCAACCTGGACCAACTGAGCAACTCCTTAGGAGTCTGGGGCAACCCTGGCACAGATGGGGCACCTGGTGCTGGTGTCCATTTCCTTGTCAGTGGCAGACACTGCGAATCAGTTGAGGCGCTCTCCCACAGAACCCTCAGAATCCTAACCCAGCACTCCAAGCAGTGACACTTTTTTGATCAGCACGTGAGCTGACCTGTCCAGGCTCCTTGAGCTGGAAAAGGGCCAAAGGGCCCAAATCCTCAGAGCTCTGACTCCTCCTCTTCTGGCTGCAGGGTCCAGCTCACCTCACTTTCCTCCTCTCCTCCCAGGAGGCCATGCTCTACCACAACCAGACGGCGGAGCTGCGGGAGCTGCTGGAGTTCTCGCACATGTACCTGCAGTCAGATGATGAGGTAAGGGGCCCCCTGTCCCCAGGGCTGGGTGATGATGGACACCCCTTGGCCACTTTGCCAAAGCTCACCCCCAGCTCCCAGCAGCCAGCTGTTGTGAAGCAGGATTCTCCTGTCCCTTAAGTACACCTGCCCTTCTCCCCGCACCCCATGTCCTCCTGCCCCCTTCTCTGTATGTCTCAGTCGTGCTTCTCCTGGGCCCAGCTCAGGTGGTGCCTCCTCCAGGAAGCCAGGCTGCATGCCCTGGCTCTGTCTCCCAGGCTTGCAATGCCGACTCTGACCCTCCGGCCTCCCTGGACCTGGAGTTACTTGCAGTCCTGGTCCAGCTCACCCCAGCCCCCTCTCCAGCCAGTCTCCCAGAGGGCTGTGATCCGAGATGGGGGACCAGGTTACTCCCAGCTCCCCCAGGTTACTCTGTTCTCCAGGGAAAGCAGAGCTGGTGCCCAGAAACTGAGTTTGAATGAACCAGTGAGCGAAGGAAGGAGTGCAGGACGCCAGGAAGGAAGGACCGCAGCGTGTTAGGTTGATTCTGAGTGAGGGTTTGAGGGTGGATGCTCTCAGGTGTCCCTGCTCGGGGCTTCTGTATCCACTCCCTCCTTTGTTCAAGCACCGTGCTCCCTCATGGAACACGGGGGCCGGGTCTACACTCTTAGTAGCCAGGTTGGCGCTGGTCAGCCTTGGTCCACCACTTCCCAAGTGGGCCCCCTCCAGGCAAGCCTTGGGGAGCCCTGAAACTCTCATTGCTTCATCCATCGAGTGGGGAGGATCATGCCCCCCTCACCCCGTGTGGTGAGAATGAAACGAGATCAAGTGTGTAAAGCGCTCAGTACAGAGCTGGCATGCATGTAGTAGGTGCTCAACAGGTGGCAGCCGTTTTGATTGCTGCTATGTGTTGTGTGCTGTTGGCCAGATACCGGGTTTGGGCCTGGGCTACATTGGTGAGAGGCACAGTCCCTTTCCCCAGCAACAGGGGGAGGCACAACACCCCTCTCCCTGTGGGAGAGGTCAGCAGGGGGCACCGGAGGACTCCTGACCCAGCCAGGGTCATCGCAAGGGCTGCATGCCTGGCCTTGGGGGGATGAACAAGGCCAGTGCAGGCAGAGGGGAGGAAAGGCGTTCCTGGCTGGGAATGGCATGAGCAGACGGTGTGCACGGGCTACCAGCATGCTCGGGGTGTTTATACTTAACAAGTGGCTGCAGAGAGGGCGGAGCTCCTGCTAACCCGGACTCTCTGCTGGTGGAGCCCCATGCACCAGTTTAGGGAGGGGGCAGCTGGGGATAGGACGGTAGGAGAAACCCTCATGTCATTCCTGTGTGAGATCTTGGGGCAAGGGTGGGGTGGGAGGGCCCCTGGGCCAGGATTGGAACTGGCCTGGGTTTGTGCCTTCTGTGATCTGTCTGGTTTGTCCCCTGACCCTGGACCTTGGGGCTTCTCTAGATGGAGCTGGAGGAGACAGAACCGCCCTTGGAGCCCGAGGACCACCCATCCGATGCGGAGTTTGAGGGGGAGGGCGACTACGAGGAGGGCATCTATGCCGACTGGTGGCAGGAGCTGGACGCCAAGGGTGACGAGGCTGAGGCTGGTCAGTGACTTGAGCCATGATGGGGGTGGGGATGCAGCCTGGGGTGGAGGTTGGGGACAGGGATCTAGGCACTGGGCTACAGAGGCGGGGGACTAATATGTGTGTTGGACGCTGGGACCCCCTCCTCTGAGGGCTTCCTGTCTGTTGGCAACCTCTGTAGGGGGTGGTATCCTTCCTGGGATCAGGGGTCAGCCGAGACCTGTTCCTGGGGAGTCTCTCTCCTGCCTGCCCCAGCTCCCCGTAGAATAGCACCCAGACACCTGTTGGGAGGGGTGGGGGCTCACCCCAGTGCTCTCTCCTTTTCTTTGCAGAGCCGGAGCCTGAGCTAGCCTGAGAAGAGGGCCACCCCGGCACCTCACAAGAACTTGGGAAGCCTGGGCCCCGTGGGACCACCCTCACCAGCCTGGGCAGCAGCAAGACTATTTATTAACAATGTAAAATGGACATAGCTGGCCAGGCCCCATCCTGTCCCACCCGAGAGCCTTGCTCCGGGCCCCCTGCCTCCTCGCTGGTCTCAACCACAGGATGGCGGTGCTGCAGCTGCTCCTCCCCCTGCTCCTCCCCTGGAGGAGGACATGCCAGCTTCTCCTAGTCGGGGCCTCAGCCTGAATTTCAGAGATAGCAGAGGGGCGGCTGGCATCACAGAGAGCACTGGACCAGGAGTCCAGTGGTGCCTGGCACTGGCCACGGTGCTTAATAAATGTTTCTTGTTGAATGAATCACAAGGCCTGGCCCTAGCCAGTTTGGCTCAGTGGATAGAGTGTCGACCTGCGTAACAAAGGGACCTGGGTTCGAGTCCAATCAGGGGCAGGTACCTTGCTTGCAGGCTCCAGCTCCTCCCCAGCCCAGGCCCTGGTCGGGCTCGTGCAGGAGGCAACCAATCGATGTGTCTCTCTCACATTGATGTTTTTCTCTGTCTTTCCCTCTCCTTCTCTCCTTCTCTCCTTCTCCCCCCACCCCCCCAAATCAACAACACGAAAAAGAATTACAAGACCTGGGGTCCATTCTCCCAAGGGCTGAGTGGTGAGGGTGCAGGTCCTTCTCTCCCAGCCTCTGCACCCATCTCCCCTCATCTGGTCTCCCCTCATCTGTAAATGCGGAGGGAGGCAGGTGAGGAGGCACATTCTGGCCTCTGTGGACCCTGGGGGTTTGTGACCGTGAAGAGCAGCTGCTGTCATTGCGATCCACCGCCAGGGGGCGTGAGGACGCAGTTCCCGCCCCAAGTCCTGGCAAGACGGTGGCTTCAGATTTCTAAGATGGGATGTCCAGTATTTTCCTAGTTCAGCATGGCTTCCCTGGGGATATGTGGTGAGTGAGGGGAAGGGGTCAAGGACATTTACTTCCGGTTTTCACTTTTCAGGCATTGACCCCGGTTCCTTGGAGTCAGGGTGAGCATGCCCTGCCCCATGAGCTGGGGCCATCTCAGTGGCCAGAGGAGCACGGTTACGGTCTGCAGTGTGAGACTTGGTGGTGGCGGTGGTGTCTTGCCCCATCTTGCATTGGCCTGGGGGGCAGAGGGTCCGGAGATGTGGGGGTGAGAGCCGTGTCTGGTGTTATCACCCAGCCCAGTGTCCCCTCCAGGTTTCACAACAGGAAAGTGGGGGCACGGGGGGGGGGTCTCTGGGAAGGACCATGGGCCAGGGCCTGCCAGGTGACAGTGCTGCCCACTCCCCACGTTTCTGGCCTCTGAGGGGTAGGGTGGTGGTGGAGCAGAGGCTGGGAACCTAGTTCTTGCCTTCCACACCCCTCCTCCCCAGATGGCCTGGGCCCCGCCCATCTCTGTGCCCAGGAGAACCCCATACCCCACCCTAAGCCCCTTTCCTGGGCCTTTATTGATGACGAGGGTGGGAAGGCCAGTCTGAGTCTGGAGTGCAGATAGGTGGGGTCAAGGGGCGAAGGTGACCTCACTCCTCCCATAGGTGAGTCTGCCGGTGGTAGCTGCAGAGTCTCCTGAGAACTCCCAGGTGCCAGGTGGCCCCGCCCAGCCCCGCCCCTTTCAAGCTGCTTCCACCAGGGCTCTGCCCCCTGTTGCTGGGAGGGACTGCCCTTGGGGCTGGCACTCCAGAGGGTGGGGAGCAGGGATGTGCTGGAGCCTGCCAGTGTGATTAGGAGCCTTGGAATCCGAAACGGTGGGAGTGAGTCTGAAAGTGCTGGTGTGCGGGAGTGCGAAGGTCCGTGTGCTTGTGTGCAGTGTGGCTGTGCGAGGCGGGGTGTGAGCGGGTGCCTGTGTGCGTGTGTCAGAACGTCCATCCAGGGCAGTGTCGTGGGTGTCTCCACGTGCATCCCTGTGCCTTTGTGAACATGACTCTAGGGGTTCACTCGCTCACTCAGACATATTTGTTTATTTTTAAATATATTTTTTATTGATTTCAGAGAGGAAAGGAGAGGTAGAGAGAGATAGAAACATCAATGATGACAGAGAACCACCGATTGGATGGCTGCCTCCTGCACGCCCTCTACTGGGGATCGAGCCCCGGATCCAGGCATGTACCCTTGACTGGAATCAAACCCCAGGACCTTTGAGTCCACAGATCGACGCTCTATCTACTGAGCCAAACCAGCCAGGACAGAACATATTTATTGAGCACCCACTGGTGCTGGGCATCACTAGTGGGCACAGCAGGCCAAGCACCCTGCCTTGGTGGGGCCTGCATTCCAGCGGGGAGATAGGCAGGAAACACTACGTGTTATAAAGCTTTAGATAAATAAGATGGAAAAATGGAGCTGGGTAAGGGTATGGAGAGAATGGAGCGGTTGAAGTTTAAGAAGTGTGTTGATGTGTGTGTCCAAGTGTGCATCTGAGAGTGGCGTCTCTGAGTGTGTGGTGATGAGGCAGAGTGTGTGTGTGTGTGTGTGTGTGTGTGTGTGTGTGTGTGTGTGTGTGTGTGTGTGGAGGGTATCCACTGGCAGAAGCCTGGCCCCTCTCTAGGCACCAGACAGGCTGTCAGCCCAGGCCGTCCCAGCCAGCGTGCCATCTCAGCTCTCGTTCCCA